GCTGCCCAGGAGGGTCTCGAACCCGCGGGCTCAGGGAATCCACTCACCTCAGCCTCCCAAGGGCGCGGGATTACAGGCTGAGCCACCAAGCCCGGCTTAATTAAAATCTCTTAACATCAAAAGAATAGACCATCTGTCATGCAGTTTCTGAAGACACACATGCATCTGCATTCAAAAACCACTTGCATCCAAATGACAACCACAGCTGCTCACAAATCCTGCCTCCTAGCTGTGTGGAATTTGAATTCTGTTTGATGTCATGTTAGATTCACGCTCTAAAGCAGAAATCTCTTGATCTTCATCTATATCCTGCGAAAACAAATTGAGGCCAAACTAAATTCCAGTTCACTTGGAAGGAAAAGACACATTTTCTTCCTGCTATTGCTTCTTATTAATCCCCAGGTTGTTCTTGACCTTACTGGCCAATCATCAATTTTCATCAGCCATTATCACTGGTCCTTGTAATGCACCTCAGTGGCTTGATAGGAAAACTTGTAGAATCAGGGTTCACAGGAGAAAAAGGCATTGCACTTCTAAAGTCTCAGTCTACACTCCAAAAAAAAAAAAAGTATTCCATTCAGTGTGGTGAATTTCCCTAGAGGATGTGACTGCATTGGCAATGGGCATTGTTAAAAATAAAACTCGAGTATAAAACCAGGGTCTAGGATATTGCAATCTCAACAGTGAGGACAAAAAACAACCAGAGGCAGCATTTCTACATATTGAAATTCCTGCAGCCAGATGTTCCTGGGGTTTATCAAAATGTGATCTGATTAAGGGGATTATTGGGAAGGTTGTGCTATAAATCATGCTCTTAGTCACATGCATTCAAAATAGTTTCTACAATGCTAGAAGATGATAATCTAATATTGGAAAGTATTTACAGTGCCACCAATTGAGCAACAGAGTGGAAATGGGGGGGAAAAATCTACAAACCAGAACCAGCATGCCTCAGGGAATAGGATGATTAAGTGAATGTGGCTGTTTATTAATGCAGAGACATGCTGTAAGGATTAAGCAGGATGAAGGCTTGGAAGCCCATTCGTTTTCAAAACACAAAATGAAGAGTTTTCCCCCCAAAAAAGTAAGGTTAAAGTATGTCTGTTTTTGACAAATAAATTACAAATGGCTTTGATATTCTGCATATAAAAAGCAAGAATAACTGCTGTATTTTTTAATGGAAAATACTGAGTTCAATCCCTGCAAAAGCACCAAATGCATACCATTTAGGATAATGTCACTGATGTACATTGACAGCCAAATTATAAAGCTCTTTGATATACTGTGTATGAAGAGCGGCAATTATGACCAATAAAATCAAAGGGGGAAAAACCTAATTAACGCTAACATATCATTACGACTCACAAGCATATAAAATCTCATGCCTCCTCTACACTCCCAGCAACTGGCAAATCCGAGATTCTCAAGGATTCAAGTGACAGTTTCCAAATAACTGGAGCAACTCAAGGTTTGGGGAATCTGTAAAGCCTTAGTATCACCTTCTTCTGTCAAAAGGCCCAGAACACACAAATAACTCAAAAATGCACCCACCCCGTCCCCAAAAATGTAATCCGAAGGTTATGAGTTGTAGTGACTTGTGAATCCTAAGCAAATTCTCATACTAACTTATGAATAAAGATAGTGATTAATTTTTTGTGGTGGAAGGAACATGAACTTTGAAGACAAGACGTCTGGGTTCAAATTCCAAATCAAGTATTTATCATCCCTGTAAATTCGGGCAGATCATTTCAGCTTTCATCAAATGGAGATCATCACAATGCCTACTCTGCAGAGTCGTTGTGAGGCAAAATGAGTGTGAAAACCACCCAAAAGTGGCAAAAAAAACCCCAAAACAACCAACTATACAAATGTTAATTCTTCCATCGTACTATGCTCGGTCTCCATCAAAACTTAGCAGGGGAAAAGTACAAGATTACCCTGTTACAAAAATGTGAATACACCGAAAGCAAACTGATCACAATGGAAAAATAACACATTGCAGAGGGGAGGACTCCATGAAACCTGGATTTAGTAAAATTGACCCAGGTTTCATAAAGAGAAAATCTGGCAGAAATCTTCAGCAATACTTGAAATCTGTCTTAAGACATTGTGCAAACCCGAATATTTTTTTTTTTTTTTTTTTTTTTTTTGAGTTGGAGTCTCACTCTGTCGTCCAGACTGGAGTGCAGTGGCCGCTCCCGGCCACCGCAGCCTCGGCCTGCTGGACTCCAGCGATCCTTCCGCCTCAGCCTTCCGAGTAGCCGGAATTACAGGCATGCGCCACCACACCCAGCTGATTTTTTGATTTATTGTAAAGATGAGGTCTCACTGCCCAGGCGGGTCTCAAACCCGCGGGCTCAGGCAATTCACTCACCTCAGCCTCCCAAAGGTGCGGGATTACAGCCTGAGCCACCGAGCCCGGCTCGCAAACCCGAATTTTTAAAAGCCCCTGTGGCCTTAACGGTGTATGGAAAAGCATTTCTGATAGGTATGTTCTAGCTTCATTATTGAAAAATCCATGACAGCAAATGACCTCCTAAACTCTGAAGGTTACAACAAATACACAACTTAAACCTAGACTAGAAATCTTTTTTTAAAGTTTTCTTGATGTAGGGTATTTCTGCATAAATGTACCAAATGAGAAGTTGCACTTTGTAAAGGTAGGACATTATTAGAAAAAATCTAAAAAGCATTTTTGAATCTTGTAGAATAAGCCAAGATATGTGAAATTTAAAAATTAAAGAATTATACAAAAATGAAATAGAAAACACTGATCATATCTCAATGTAAGACATAATAAATCAAGAAGGAAAAATGAAACCACCAGACCAGTTTCCTTCCTGGCCTCACTGACAGTTCTTTGACAACCTTGGCTTTGACTGACTTACATGACACTCAGTCATGCACACACACAGCTCTCTGCTCATCTCTGGTCCCCTGCAGTTACTCCTGTTCTGAGCTGCTAAGCTTTCAAATACCTGATTTTTTCTGTTGCTTTTCGGAACTCACTAAATGGCTCAAGCAGTCAGCTCATCAGGTATCTATTCCTGACGCCAAACCTCTCCCTCAAACCTACCACCTTTCGGGTGCGGGAGGCCCGCCCACAGCAGTGAAGGGTGCTGGCAGAGGCCCTCGGTGCAGCCCAGAGGAAAACTCAATTGCAAAAACCAACACATAAGTGGTTGCCCTTCTTAGAATTCCATTGAATCTTGGCTTTCCAGAGAGTCCTCCGTGCCTGGGGGTTCCCCTAAACTAGCCTGTGAGTTCACGGCAAACCCGGAGCTTTTGAAGGCATTGTGAGCATTCATAAACTTCTGCAGGTATTTGGAGGTGTACAGCCAGTGGTGTTTGAGGACGTCTTTCATCTCATAGCACTTGGACTGCCTGGCATTCATTTTCCGGAAGCGCCTGAACAGTTTGTTGCCAGACTCATTGCCCTCGCTGGCCCAAGCCCCAATCGAGCCATCCCTCTCGATGATTTCAGGGACATGCGCCAGCGTCTTGTGGAAATAGTTGGTGATTTTGCCCTCGTAGCGATACTTGAACTTGGTAGAGAGCAGCTCTGCAAAACGCTGTGAGTTGAAGCTGTACTGGCAGAGGGAGTCTGGACACTCTCTAGCCGGGCACGATGACCGCCACACGGGCTTCATCTTCAGGTAGAGGTCCATCAACTCCCTCAAAGCCTCGTGCCTCTCCTCGGAAGGTATCAACTCACAGACGGCCTCCACCGTCTCCTTGGTCATGAGCCTCCTGGCAAAGTTGCCGTTCATTCTCATGATGGGCTTCAGGCTCAACTTCTTCCGGAGATGCTTGTCCAGCGTGGCCTGCCATCTTTTCCTCTCCTCCTTGGAGGCACTGGGATTCTTATACGCCTCTCCTATCTCCAGCTGGAAAATCTTGTAGAACTCCGCCGCATTGCCTATGTCGCAGTGGAGTGCGTCTATGGAAGGGACGGTCTCGATGAAGGGTTTGGCGGAGACCCCTTTCACCCGATCCCGCAGCTCTTCCACGGTTTCATGGTAGGGGTTGGAACGCCAGACCTCGTAGCGTTCCAGGTTCTCGGTGTGGCTTCTGGTGATCGAGTGGAAGACGAGATTCTGAGACGCTTCCAGCCGGGTGGCGTCACAGAGAGTGCAAACGTAGACCGAGCCGGAAGCCTCGAGGCCTTCCACCTCCCTGACAAGTTTCTCGTCGTATCCAGTTCCCCTGAAGATGAACTTGAAGGTCCTGAGGATGCCGCCTACCTCAAGCATCAGTTCACTGCTCTTCATGGCCTCCCGCTCAGCAATGAGAGGGCTCAGGATGGCAGTCAGAGTCTCATGGTCAGACTCGTCGGCCAGCATAAGGCACAAAGGCTTGCAGCACAGCTCGGAGTTAGGTTTGGCTTCCTCGAACACGCTCACGTTCTGCGAGCCCTGTGCTATGGTGATTTTCATGATCGTGAATGAAAAACGGACCGCCTTTTCGGGAACTACTGGCCCACTCCCGTGCTTCTCACTCACGTCTCCCATTCCATCACAAGACTCCTTCACCACCACCGTGAAGGGGCCGCTCAGGTAGTCCTCAAGGTCCTGGGATCTCATGCCTTCCAGGATGTCTTCCTCCATGTCCATCAAAGCAGACACCAAAGCTGAGTCATAGCGGAATCTCTTTGCAATGGTGTCCACTGGGTAATCATCCACAGAGGAAGAAAGTCCAGACAGTCCGTCAATAATGCCGACATCCGTGCTGGAAGACACGTTCTTTAGAGGCGGCCGCCACTTGAAGGGGTGGTAGCCTGGCAGAAGGGCCTTCTCGGCGTTCCGGAGGGCGTGCAAAGGCTGGAAGATCTGCCTCCCCGTGATGGCTTTCACAGTCCTGTACATCTTGTGATACTGACTGCAGCTGAGGAAGGTGTTGACGCGGATGGCCAAGCACACACCTGGCTGCAGGCCAGGGCCCCGTCCCTGCATGATGGCCTCTAGCTCATCAGCTTGTTTGTGCTCGTTCCTTGCCCTCAGAGCCAGCAGGAACAAGGTCAGGCACACAGACTTCACGTCTCCACCTTCCTCCTTGTCGGCAAAAGCCTTGACTTGCAGCTTGAGCTCCCTCAGCCGGTGCTTCTGAGCTCTCCGAGTCAGCGACAGAAGATGCTGACGGGGCCGGCCCCCTTTATTGATATGCACGAGAGTCTCTTTTGAGTCCTTGTGACTTGAGACGTGGTGATTATACTTTTCCAGACTGATCTCCTCATTGCACTCTTTTGCTGGACATTTCACTATCAGGGAGTTCAGGACACTCAGAAAGGACTTCACTGGACTCTCCAGGTCAGTGGGGAAGCACGGGTATTGGCAAGAAGGACAATAGCTGCCCATGACTTTGAGGCACCTGAGAATGCAGACCCTGCAAAATACATGCTTACAGCTGGTCTCCACGGGGTCAGCCAGGATGTGTTCACAAATCTGGCAGGAGATCGATTTCATGAAATGCTCCGGAAAGTCCACTGCCAGGAGCTTGGTGCTAAGATGGATCTCACTGCAGTTGGTGATCTTCTTCAGGACGTCCTTGCTGCAGAGCCTGGCCTGAGCCAGTCTCTTGTGCTGCCGGGCCCGTCCTGCTCGGTCAAGCGCCGTTTTGAGCTTCTTGCTGAGCTGCACATTTGGCGGAAGGCTCTTCCTTTTGAGTCCCCGATGGGCAGGATGGCAGATGTCACAGGATGGTGTGTGGGGGGACCACTCCACGGTTGCGTGCCTGGGGAAATAAGCTCCACCAGGGGCGCTGCCCAGCTTCCTGTGCATGATGCCCCAGCAGTTGTGGCAGAACTCGGTGGGGTGGGTCGTGTCGACGTCCGCCTTCACGTCGATTCGGAAAACCTTGGCGATCAGGTCTGGCCAGGAAGTCACTCTCCTTTCCTTCTTTCGTAAAAGGTCTTGGGTTTGAGCGTCCACGGGCCCGTGGACTGGATATCTCCTGCTGTGCCCATCCGTTTTCAAAGAACGCCCACAGATGCGGCAGAGCTGGCGCAGGTGGGCTTGGTGGACCGCTTTGCGTCGTGCTTTCCTGTCATTGTGGGATTTCTTAGAAAACTTAGGAGAGGCTTTTAATACCGGTTGATTCGGGGCTGCTTCCTGATCGCCAGCCTTGTCCGGGGCTGCTGGAGATTGCTCCAGAGAGAGCTTCCCTTCAGAGGAGTCTGTCTTTTCCTTTGGAGACACTTCAGGCGTCTTTTCTAAGGATCTCACCCTGAAGAGCTTAAATTTCCAATCTGAAAATTTAATATGTGAGTGTTGAATTTCCTCTGTGGCAGAACTGAATCTCAGGGTGGGTGGGAATGAGACAGCCATGCTGGCTGAAGTACCTGGGGACAAAGAAAACAAGTCACATTAGGAAAAATGCCAGTATCCTACTGACGAATCTTGAAAATGTTGCAAATCAATACATTCACCTATTTATTCACTAATTTATTCCAAAAGATATTTATTAAATCTCCAGTGTTAAAATACTATGTTAAGTGGTGATCATGCAGCAGATAATAGAATTATCTCCTGTTCTGGCAACACTTATGGTTACATATGCCTTATGTGTATATGTACATATTTTTAAATGTGTGTAAAATCTTATTCCTTTTTCACAAAACCCTTACGGTCTTTGAGGACAGAATCTTTGAATGATTCATCTTTCTCTCCCCGAGCTTCCTAGTACACGTTAGGTGCTCAGTAGTTATTTGCTAAGTAAATGCAAAGATAAACTGGCTACTAAAACCAAAGAAAAGTAATACTTTCTACATTGTATTAGCCTCATTGCACTGACTGGGCAATATATTTCCAGCTTTTTAAAGCAGTCTTCCAAGAGGTTGGTTGTTTCTTTCTTCCAAATGGGTCATAAAGGGATGATAAAGCTACAAACCCCAAGAAACTAATTACTCACTACTTGAAAGGATGAAGTGAATTTTGAGCTTTATGAATGCAAACTAATAATAAGTATTATGGATAGCAATTATGCTTACAATTTTAATTAGTGAATGCTACTGTAAATTATGAGGCTGTGTCTACATGAGAAACAAAAGCCACACAACTCTAAATCTGCAACAAACCAGAGTGTGCATGTTCTAAGCTTCTGAAGGATTTTAAAGATAAAATGCTCAAGTGGCTTCAGATAAAGCTCACACAGGTCATTCTGAAAGTCATTGCTGGTTGATGGTCATTAGCTGTATAGTTTGCAATAAGAAGAGGTGAGAGTAGTGTTTACCTTCTTGTTAAAAAAAAATTAGCAATTACATAAGCCAGGAAACCCTGCTGCTCTGGGTTGTAGTGTAGAGGTCCGCAGAGATGCAGAAAAGGCATCTGACAATGCCATTGGAGTACTTTCTAGACCCAATGAGACCAGTATTTCCCAAATTCTTTAGTACACATAACTGGAAAAACAGCCATTGCATTTTCAACCTATCATCTCATCCGCCTTCCTCAAATGTGCCTGGGTTAACTCTTTTGACCCGCCAGTTATATCGAGTAGTGTGTTTTTCTCCCAATTAATTGACCAAATTGATGAGAAATTTTATAGTCGTGTAGTCAGGGAGGCAAATCCTGCAATGAACACACTTTGACCTGGAGTGGGATTAGGAGGACAGAGGGGCAAGGTTAATCCTGACTGCTACTACCAACGTTTCTGTTCAACTCATCCCTTTGAAATACCAGGGTTGAGTCCATCTTACGTGCATTATATATCAGAGGTTGATGCTTTTTATAAATATTAAAAGCAAATTTCCAAGAATTGTTTAAAAGAAAAATCCTGTTAGATCGGTCCCTGTGCAAGACTATGCAAGAGTCAAACAATTACAAACCATTTCAAAGGGATTTTTTTTTAACCTCAAAAAGCACTTCAACTACAACCCAACAAACACTTCAAAGCTGCTTGTACCTCAACTCTGTCCCTTAATTATCTTCTGTGGCTAGTGCTAGGTTTTTCCCTGGATCCCCCACCTTGTTGGCTTGAGCTCATCCTCAAATTCCTTCACATTCTTAGCATTTAATTTTCTAGGGTTTTTCTACAGTGCTTGCTCTCTAGCTTTCCAAGATAATAGTTGAGTAGTTACTTTTTAAAAATGCATGACCATCTCCGGAGTTCATCAAGTTCAATGCTGACCTTGTACATGGAATAAATCAATCACAAGACGTGTTGATAGGACCCCTAGAACTATCTCCCCACCCTACATATTCCCCTTCTGACTCCCATTAGCCTGAATTATTATGCCAAAATCCACCAAAATACATTTATTTAAATACTTCTATGGAAAAACTGCCATCACCAAGCAGTTATTTGCCATTGACATTGGAATCAAATTTATTTATTAGATTATTCTCCAATTAAACTGTTAAAAGTTTATTCAAATTAGAAACAAGAAGGAGGTAGAAGGAACATATTATTTTTCTTGTTTTTAGGGAAATATACACCTAGATGCTAATGGCAGTTATCTATGAAATCTTTACATGTTTTATATTTTTTATCCTTACCTGTTTTGTTTTGTTTTTTCTCCCTAAACCAAACAACTATTACTTTTGGAAGAAGATAGAACTTTTAAGAGCTGGATTTGAGGAATTTTTAAAATCTATCCAGTTGAAAAAAGTTAAAACTATGTATATTACTCTGCATTAATGAAGGCAAGGAGGAATTAAGATATCTCCATATATTCTTGAAAAAAGTATAAATTGGTATAAAAAGCCTAGTGGACAATTTAGCCATGTCTTTAAAAAAATTAAATACATTATCTTTGAACAATACATCTCCTTTTAGTAAGTTATAATATAGTTATTCTATAGAACATTCCCACAGGTATACAGTGATAATTATATGGAGACAGAGATTTTTTAAATCATTACTCTGAAAATTAGAAAAGAGTGCAAATAATTACCAAAGGGGCATGATTAAATAACTACGGTCCAGGCATACAATGGAAAACCATGCAGAAAACTAAATGTTCTCTATGCATTGGTGCATATGTGCAATTTCTATATGCATCCGTGACATGGAAAGATGCCTGCATGAAAAAGCAGAACAGAATGATGATACCAAGGATAATAGGACCTATTTGTGCATATATACTCCTATTTGTGTACACTTGAAAGCACAGAAACCCCAGAAGGTTATGCACTAGAATCTTAAAAGTGTTTAATCTCTGAAAAATAGCATTGGCACTGATAAGACGGACTCTTTCCTTTTTTATTTCATTGCATCATTTGAATTTTCACAAGTATTACTTTTATTAATTTTGTGAACATTTTGGATAAAATTGTTTTAAAGACTAGATTTATATGTACTCATTGTCACCTTTCCATATTTCTAAATTTCTCCTGGAAAGTTTAAGACCCAGTTAAGTCTCAGCTCTGACCCCCATCATTAGCCTATCTTTCTTTTCTGATAAAAACACAGAAAGGAGACAAATATGGACCTGTAGACAGCATGAAGTTAGGATTACGAGTTATTCTGCAGTCAATTTTTAAAACTCCGAAATCTTACAAATGTTGGTTCTCCTTTCTCCTAACAAAAGATCTCAGTTATAGACCAGCCTCAGGACGAAAAGGCAGAGGGCCGATGCTGGCCCAGCCCTATCCCCACCGGTCACTGCCATCTCAGCCCTGCCATCCTCTGCTGTCACAGCTGCAGGGGTGCCATTCTCCACTGGGCACAGACGCGTTTTGACCAAGTAGTCCGAGGTGGCTTGGTCAGGGCAGAAGCTGCAATTTTTGGTGGGTGATATTGCTGGCGACTTCAGGAGACTGGGCCACAGCAGCATTGTTCCCCAACCCCACTCCCATTCCAGCCACTCTTCCCTCCACACACATCCCACGCCTTGGCTCACAATATTCCCTCCTAGCCTTTCCCACTCGGGCTATACACAATCTACAAGTAACCCAAGAGTGACCTTTCATTATCCTACCTGCCCCACTCATTCGTTCAGTCACTCCACAAATGTTGTTGTCTATCATTTGTCAAACATTGTGCATCAAAAACTTGGCAGCATCAAAAGCCTTTTTATAAGTCTCAGACATCCACAAAATAATCCTAAGATCCTCGCCTTTCCTTCAGACAACTTCTTGCATGAGCCACTTCAGAGGGAGACGTGTACTACCATAACCCCGGTCGGGAATCCCGACCCAAGAACATAACTTCAAAGCAGGGACCTAGGCAATTCTCAAAATTAATGCACATCAGAACCACTAAGGAGATTTTTTTAAAAATGCAAGTCATCAGGACCCAGAGGGTCTGGTTGTTTGTTTGGTGTGGAGTCCAGGAATTGTACTTAAGAAGCATTCCAGTGATCCTAATGTGAGTGGACACTTTGAGAAGTACTGGTCTCCTGTTTTGTCCAGTTGAGTCCAAGAAGTACCTGGCGATGCTGGCAACACTTGCGAAATGACACATTTCCATCCCCCACCCCTCTGGAATCTGGTTGCTCCTGATTATTTCTCCTGCCTGCCCTGTTTCTAAGAGTTTCATGCTTTTCCTTCTGCTGATTTGTTTACTCGTTCAGTCAAGAAGCACCCTTTAAACCCTTTCTCTTCCAATAGATTTATAGTAATCCAGATATTTTGTATCTTCCCTGTGAACCATCAACGTTCTTTTTTTTTTGAGTTGGAGTCTCACTCCGTCGCCCAGACTGGAATGCAGTGGCCACTCCTGGCCACCACAGCCTCGACCTGCTGGGCTCCGGCGATCCTTCTGCCTCAGCCTTCCGAGTAGCCGGAATTACAGGCATGCGCTACCACGCCCGGCTGATTTTTTGATTTATTGTAGAGATGAGGTCTCGCTGCCCAGGCGGGTCTCGAACCCGCGGGCTCAGGCAATCCACTCACCTCAGCCTCCCAAAGGCGCAGGATTACAGGCTGAGCCACCGAGCCCGGCTCCATCAAGGTTCTTAAACTAGGCCTGTTGTATCTCTTTTATATTCACACATTAGAAAGAAAACCCAAAGTCATGTCAGCTCCCCTCACTCCATCCCTTCATCGCCTCCAAGAAAAAAAGCCCCAGTACTTTTAATTAGAGACATAAAGGTGTAATAGACATGCTGGCTCAAGGCATGAAAAGTGTGTTACCTTGCTCAGAAGGCTGCCTGACCAAAGTGTGGAGATGTCTGCAATTTGGTTGATATGACTCGCTTCCAAAGAGAAAGCAGAGGGTGTTCTCTGCTCCTTCCTTGCTCTCTCTTGACCCTCAGAGCACACTGTCTGCTGTTTATCAGTATCCACTGTCCTTCCCAGCCCCCACCATGGAGGCCTAACCACAACAGTGGCAGCCAATCACAGGCCGGGAGCCCCCATCCAGCTGCCACCTGGCTCTTCAGGAAGCT